TGAAAGTATTTTGAAAAGGGTCCATCATTTAGGCAAACTTTGTAATAATTCTCGTTCGTAAGAATGTATACAAAGTGTTTGATCTTTTGAAAATGTTTTCAAGTTTTGAATAATGTTTTGAAAGTGTCGGTGTTTGTTTTGAAAATAGCAAGGATGTTTTTGTTTTGAAATGGAGCAAGTAACTAGGAACATTCTACCTACTCAAAAGTATTTCATGTTCATTTCCTTTTTCCTTTGACATTGTTATCTTACCATTAATTTGGTAAGTAACCTTATCTTTAGATGTAAAAAGGGTCGGGCGTGGGTCATCGTATAACCATGATTAGCAATGTTGCAAGATATCTTAGCATTTTTCTTTAGGGACTAAGATCATTTTGAAAGGCAACATTGATAGCGTCATCGAGGGACTATGATCTTGTATTTTGCTTGTTTTTGCTAAGATACCTCACATGCATAATATGGCCATTTTTGTAAGGCAACCAAGTGGATTTATCCTAAGGGTGTTTGTGTGCAAGTGTATTGATTTTCATGCTTGATTTGTCTTTGATTAGGGTTTGCTGAGAATTGATTTTAATCTTTCCATACAAACCCTAATTACTAGCATTTGTATATAAAGCATTTAAATTGTGGAAAATAAAAATACTAAGCTATTACATCATTTAGGGGATGGGGTATGCAAATTAAAAATGGGGAATATTGCAAGAAATTAAATCTAAATAATTATTAAAACCATATTGAATTTGAATAAATGTACAAAATGAACAAATAAAATACAAGAATGTAAATATAAAAAGAAATGTGATTTTTGTTTGTTTTTTTTTCAAGAAAATGTTTTTTGACCTAATTAATTAAAATAAAATAATTAACTAAAAATAAGAAAATTGAGATTAAGTTAGTAACTAAATTAATTTAAAGAAAACAAATTTTTTAGGGTTTTGTGAATTTAATTAAATTAGTAAATAAAAATAATTAAATAAAAATCCTAAATTCTAAATTCTAAATTTATTTTAATTTACAAGAAAAATAATTAATATGATATAATAATAATTAAAATTAAATTATCTAAGTAAAAAAAGGTAAATTTAATTATTAAAGAAAATGTAAAAGAAATGTTTTTGTTCTTTTGCTTTTGTGAAGAAAAATAAAATTTAAAATGTGAAAATAATAAATAAAAATATTTTTTGGGTTTTTATTACTAACAATAAAAATTAATATTAATAATAATACTAATAATAATAATAACGAAAATAAAAAATAAAAAAATAAAATAAAATGGGCCAGGATATATGAACAACAAGGCAGGGGGGTTAGAACATAGCAAAAAAATAAGGCCCAAACAAAAGGAGGCCCAGGCGCTGCAAAAAGTCAAAAAATGTGAGAAAATGTGAAAAAAATGCAAAAGGCAGCGCGCTGGGTGTTGAACCCATGACCTCTTGGTTTCCAGCGCGTTGTCTTACCATTGGGGTGGCTACTTATCCGCTAACTTATGTTAAACCATAAATGCATATTAGAAACTGCTTCCTGAAGACAAACTTCATCTTCAACCTCGCGCCTGGCCAGACCACCTCAAAACTAGAAATCGTGTTTTGAGTTTGAGCATTCCTCAAGGTGTTGTGATGATCAGAATAGCTCCACTGAGGTCCCAGGAAGCTAATGCAATATTTAGTTTGTATTGAAGATGTCTAAATCATGCTGGAGAAGTCCAAGTGCAAAGCTCTATTTTTGAAAATGGAGGATGGTGTTAATGGTTTTACAGTCTTGTAACAGGGTGTGGGATGAGTTCTAAATGATGTTTAGAGGCTTTAGGAACAAAAAGGCTTGAAAACGCACGAGGGAGATGTGAGTTTTAAACTTTTGGTCAGGTTATGCAAGAATGGAGGTATGTGATACAGTTCTGAGTTCTTGGGAGTTTTGGGGCTTAAGCATGCGTGTGTTTTGTTTCCAAGTACTTGTACATAAGTAATGATAAGGTTTGAGTGCTTGAGAGGGTCAGAAGTACAAGCTCTAGACTGATTGCTATGTTACTTGATTTTGAAGAAAAGTGAAAGTATGGTTCCAAGATGAAGTACAAGTATGGGCTGAGTGATTGTGAGGCTTGAGAGAAACTTCTTGTGATTTATAAGTTGTTTATGATCAGAAGAAAAACATTGCAAGGCTCATGAACAAGTTTTATGTATAAAGCTACTTTTTCAAAATGGCATTGTGCACTTTCTTCCTAAAATGGACATAAAGCATAGGCATTGCATTGAATGCTTGAGTTGAATCCTCTAACAGCTGTGCAAGCATTTAATTATGGAGTGTCTAACAATTTTAAGGCCTATAAAGCAGAGATTATGCAGCATTGGTTTGAGATTTGAATCTTTGTTCATCACAAAATGACATATAATTTTAGTTTTAAACCCTAACTTCCTCTCTTCGATTCTCCTTTCTCAAGAATGATCTCAAGGAGTTCTTGGATATTTTGGAAATCTTGTAATGTGCTCTACAATTCCTCTTTGAATCACTTTTCAAAATTCCCCTTGGAACTATATGAAAAAGTGCCATGAAGTTAGGTCAAAATCCTGCCTAAACTAGGGGAAAATTTCACTAAGTGTTTAATTTCAAGACCATGACTTTATGAATTAATAACTTGAAATCCAAGAATTTCTAGGAGAAGTTGTGTAAAGAAATGTTGTAGATCTCATGGATATCTACAACTTTCATGTTGAAAGTTTCTTTTGAATCATCTTGCATCATGGTGAAAAATTGGCTCAAAGTTGTGAAAAAATTTGAAGTTTTCAACACAGAAAAATTTCTAAGTTTGAAAACTTTAACTTTTCAAAATGAAATCTTGACTTTTTTATTTCTTGATGAATAAGTTTCGTATTTTGACATGTTTTGATAAATTGTGATCTTTGACACTTGATTTTGACCAAAAAGTCAAAGTTTGACTTTTCAGTTTATAGTTAATTTTTGATCAGTTGACTGAAAATCCACTATCAATCCAATTGATCTAAGACAATGTTTTGAGTCATGACATTAGGTAAAAATTATGAAATTGAACTCTTGAGATCATGCCTCAAACCAATTATCCATTTACTAGGTCAAAAAAAAGAAATTGCCCTTTCTCAGTCAAAACCCTAATTTTGACCATTTTGCCCTTTTGATGATTTGATCAAATTTCTTGAGGAATTATGGTCCAAACTTCATAAAATGATACATATGAGTTTATATTATTGATATGGGTCAAAAATTATGAATTTTGACTGTAAATTGGCCACAGTTGACTTTTTCTCCAATACAGCTGATTTTTAGGTCAACTAGTCAATTGACTGGGCAAAAATGTGATCCAAGGCTTGAAATTCGACATGAGTACTCTTGGGGGTCCATAATGGTACATTAAAGTCATATGAGGCATTTAAAGTTCAATTATCCTTGTGCAATCTCAAACCTTATTTTCAGTCCTCAGTGCTTAAGGAGGTGTCTTGAGCTGGTCAAACCTTGTGTAGTCTTGAACCAAAGGAGATCTTGTGAGAAAATATTTGATAAATGAGAGGGAAAATTTTTGGGTACAACACCATACAATATGAAGCATAAGTATTTTAAGTTCCCAAACCTTCCACAACAATTATATCTCCATTGTTAATTTCTTCCTCTGTTATACTTCTTCTGATGTCTCTGCTGATATTGAGACATGTGATTCAACATCTTCTGCTTTTGTTTCTTCTTTGGAGGTACACTATTCACTTCAGACCTTTCTCCTTTGTTTTTTACATCTTGACTATCATAACCTAGATCCTTAATCTTGACAACACTTTTCCAAATTAGGATAGTTATTCATCCAGAACGGTAGGGTCACTATTTTCTGAGTGATTTTTATGTTGTCCATTCTGACGTTGGAACATTTTGTTTGACATTCTTTGTTCCAGTCCTTTCTCTGGATGAACGAACTTTATTCCAGCTCTTTTGATTATTTTCTTCATAGATTTATTGACATAGCCAACCCCTTGAACATTATCATCATTCTTTCCAGACTTAATAATCTTATCAAGCACATTAGAGCCATTGTTAAGCATTCTGATAGACTTGGTCAGATTATCAAGTTTTAAATTGAGTAAAAGAGCTTCACCCTTCAGATTAGTGACGGTGGACATGAGCATTTTTTTTATCCTCCAGCCCATAAATGGTAGACAAGTGTTGCACTTTTTTAGACTCCAGCTGAGAAATTATTTTCTTTTGCTCTTCTACTAGTTGAATCACCTCTTGATTTTTTAGACACAACTCCTTAAAAAAACAAGTTTTTCAAAGGATATCTCTTCACAGTTTGAGTCTCTATCAGATATACATATTCCACTTAGTGTTGTGACTTGTTTGGAACCTTATTCTTCATGATCACTTTCAGAATCTTCTTCTGATCATGATACAAACAATCCTTTCTTCTGCTTCTTGAGATAGGTGGGGAACTCACTTCTTATGTGACCAAACTCTTCACATTCATAATAATGAACTCCTCTTCATTGGATGAACTTGTCATTAGTTCAGTCTCTTCCACCAGAATCTTGACTCTTATTGATGTTGAATAACTTGTCAAAATGCTTGTTCTTGACATTTGATCTTGCTTTCTAGTCAAATTTATTCAACACTATGTTGAATTGTTTTCCAAGTAACACAATGGCATTTGAAATCCATTCTTCAGTATCCAAGTCACACTCATCTTCTAGATCATCGGTGTTGGAGACAAAGGCTATGCTCTTCTTCTTTTCAACTTTTTCACAGATACCTAACTCAAAGGTTTGAAGGGATCCCATAAGCTTATCAACTTTCACGTTGTTTATGTATTTAGCTTCTTCAATAGCAGTCACCTTCATGTCAAACCTCTTTGGAAGAGATCTTAGAATCTTTCTTACCAACTTGGCTTCTCAAATTTTCTCCCCTAGGGCACCTGAAGCATTGGCTATCTCAATAATATTAATTTGAAAATCATGAATACTCTCATCTTCCTTCATTCTTAAGTTCTAAAACTAAGTGGTAAGAAGTTGAATTCTTGACATCTTCACCTTGGAGGTACCTTCATGAGTAGTCTTCAAGATATCCAAAGCTTCTTTGTCAATAGTACAATTGCTAATTAGCCTGAAGATATTCTTGTCCACTCCATTGAATAGGGTATTAAATGATTTGGAGTTTCCCTCTAATTCTTTTTCATCTTTATCATCCCAGTCTTTTTCAGCCTTCACCATATTAGTAACTTTCCCATCGGGACCTAGAATCATTGGTGGATCCCATCCTTTGACCATAACTTTCCAAGCCTTGTTGTCCATGGATTTGATAAAGGCCACCATACGAAATTTCAAATAGTAATAATCGGTTCCAATGAGGATGAATGGTATGTTCATAAATCCCCTTTCCTTGTCCATTGTACCATAAAGTATCTTCCCTGAACCTCACCCAGAGTCAGAGTAGGATGCCTGCTCTAATACCAATTGAAATTCTAGTATTCAGATCTCAGATGTCCTAAAAGATGTTGAGACACCTTTCTCTGAAAAAACACGCAATGACAAGGTATATGATAAACAAAGTGTAGAAAGGTAAAGAACACACAGGATTGTTAACCTAGTTCAGTGTACACCAACACCTACTCTGGGGGCTACCAAGCCATGGATCAAGTTAACTAAAATAATATCAATTCAAAGTTAAACTCCCCATTTTACAACTTCTCACTTAATCATTATCCTTACTTAACTTCTACCTAAGACTCACCTAGGTATGATACCCTTCTCAAATTTCTTCCAATTACAAACCAGTGACTGGCAAATTCTAAACACTTAGAAAAACATAGAAGTCAAACTTCAAAGACACACAATCATTCACTACTTAAAAGCTTTGGAATGACTGATAAAACTTAAAACTCAAAAATAAAGCCCTACTCTTTCATCAATATGATAATCGAGTGGCTCACAATAAACACACAAACCCTAATAAAAATACAATGTAAGTTTGACACTTGTACTAGGGTCAAAGCCTTATATTTATAATCTTCAATGAACTGGATTTGAGCTTCACATATGTAACTGAGTATGATAGAGGCGCTGTAGAATTATCTCCTCAAAGATAGGACATCAATCATTAGTTTTTGGAATTATCTTTATAACTAGAAAAATCATCCTGAATCTTTTTAAATCTTCAAACTGTGTGCCACATAGGATAGCATAATATTCATAAATATTCTGCACCTGTAACAAACTAAATTTTCTAACAATCCAATTGTACAAAATTACGATGTCGAAAGAACCTTCATAGGACATTGCATTTGACATGTTGCTCCAGTTGATAGAATATCTTCATTCAAAATGTCTAAGATAAGTTAGTTTTACCAAACATAATGCCAATCAAAGCAAACAGAGAAATAACAGATAAACACCCCACGGAAAGAAAATAAGTCAGAGCTAGTACAAACTTGCTTAGGTTTCTCGAGATGAGTCGCCAGTTGTCGCTACCGCGAAAAATACCGACGCAAACAGAGTCGCCATCGAATGTTATTTATCCCAAGAACGTAAAGGAAGATATTGAGTAAACCTAAATGGAAAGAACATGGTCTTGCAACTAAGAGAATGGTATGGAAGTCGATTACGTAGGGGGGAGGTATTAGCACCCCTCATGTATGTGGTACTCCATGAGATCCACTCTAATTGTTATAATTAAACAGTGTGTTTATCTAATGATTACAAGCTGAGGGAATACATGAATGAGTTCTTAATGAACAAAAAAAAGGTTTTAAATTAGGGTGCTCGCCTAGATTGTGAAACCTTGTGCCTACGTATCTCAAAGGAATCAGAGTGTCGTAGTTCAACTTAAATAATTTGGTTTGTTTGTGTTTTTTTATGGGTAACAACCCTTTCCTGAAAAGGTTTTCAAAAGAAAATCCAACTGGCAAAAGAAGTTTTAATTTGTTGTGTGTTTTTTTGGGATAATAGAAAATGGATTCCAATGGAGGTACACTTACTACTTCTTCACTTATTTACGAAAGTGTTTGAGTATACTCACATGTTTTAAATTTTCTAACCAGAAAAAGTTTTAATCTTACAAGATGCAATGCAAACAACTAACAAGTGCAAAGGGATTTCAATCCTACATTTTGTCATGCAATGGTGGTCCTAAGGTTAGGATACATAGAGTCCTACCTAATGGCTATCATGCTTAGTTTACAAACCTAAAGTCTACTGAATTCATCTTAACTAAGAGTGAATCAAGACCCTAAGGGAGCATGTTATCCCAAATCATCAGAAAAAGCAAGCAAGAAGGACGACGTCGTGATCTCAGTGAGGGTATAAAAATGAGTGATTCCTCGTCCTCAACTAAAATAAAACAAAAGGAACGATTTCGTGATCTCATCTAGGGTGAAAATTTGAGTGACTCCTTGTCCACCACAAAGAAAATAATGTAACAATATCAAAGCAAAGGTAACAACCAAATGATAAATAAGAAGGGAAAAGGTATTAACCCCAAAATGAGTCACAACTACCTAACAAGGAAATCAACTTCACATTTAGAGATTACAACCACAAATATATCAAGCATTAGGGTAATAACCCACGTGTATCAAACATAAAGATAATAATCAATAAGCACCTTAAACATTAGGGTGACAACCCACACACCTCTCAAATATTTAATCATACACCAGAAAATTACACTTAACCAAGTGATAAACCAATTAGTTACTAAATCGAAATAGATTTTAGATTAAACACTACTTAACAAAGTAAACAATGCTAACAAGAAACATCCTAACAAGCTAACCATGCTGACAAGCCATCCTAAACCTAACAAGATTTAAGCTCAAACATTACTTCACCAAGTAATCACGCTTATTATCTAAAACCTAAATCTTACTAAATATAAGCTCAAATATTACCTTACTAAGTAATCATGATTACTAGCACAGCCTAACAAAGCACTCATGCTAACGAGCAACCCTAAACCTAACAAGATTTAAGATAAAACATCATTTAACAAAGTGTTCATGCTAACAAGCAATCTTAAACCTAACAAGATTTAAGAAAAAAATAACTTAACAAAGTGTTCATGCTGAAAAAAATCCTAAACCTAACAAGATTTAAGACAAAACATCGCTTAGTAAATTGTTCATGCTAACAAGCAATCCTAAACCTAACAAGATTTAAGATAAAACAATAACCTTACGAAGTGTCAATTCTTACAAGCAAACTCTAACCTAACAAGATTAAAGATAAAACAATCACTTAACAAAGTGTCAATGCTTACAAGTAATCTCTAATCTAACAAGATTTAAGATAAAAAAATCAATTAACAAAGTGTCAATTCTTGCAAGAAATCCTAAACCTAACAAGATTTAAGATAAACAAATCAATCACTTAACAAAGTATCAATGCTTACAAGCAATCCTAAACCTAACAATATTTATGATAAAACAAATCACTTAACAAAGAGATCATGTTAACAAGCAATCCTAAACTTAATAAGATTTAAGACAAAACATCACATACCAAAGTGTTCATGCTAACAAGCAATCCTAACAAAGTAAACATATGCTAACAAGCAACACTTAACAGAGTAAACATGCTAACAAGCAACACTTAAAAAAGTAAACATGCTAACAAGCAACAACTTAACAAAGTAAACAGGCTAACAAGAAATCATGCAAGGAACCTACACATGGATTAAGCTTAACCTACCTTAACTAAGGTAACATACATAACAAAGATAAACATCAAAGCTACCTCAAATAAAATGGACATGTATCAACAAGATGAGAAACCAATTCAAATTTGACATTTAAAGAAAACATCAAACATCAAGAATAAACAACTTCACATCATGACATTAACCAAGAATCTCAAATTAGTTCTAATGAACTCGTGGAAGCAAGACCATAATTTAAATTATGGAGATGAAATACCAAGTTTAAGCACTAAGGTGACAACCTAAACATGCTTCTAATCACAAATCTACCCTAACAAAGGTAAGATATGAAAGAAAATTGTTACATCAAGCTAACAAGCAACATGTATAAAAATTTCAAGAAGTAACAACTTAACTTGAACATGTAATTCAAAATAATGAGCAAGGTTCCAAGGTAATTATCTAATACCTAATGAAATAGGAATCACTAACAACCCTAAGTTCAAACACCAAAAGTAAAACATAACATGCTTCAAGTTTCAACTTTTAAAGAAAACATAACACAACTTAATAACATGTTATCCACACATGTGTGAAGATATGCATCAATGTATAGGGTGTAAACATAACCTAAATACCATGCTCTAAAGGTCATACATCAAGGTTTTTAAACCTATACTAAACAACTCAAAGTACTTGAATAAACAAGTTTTTAAACATCACAATGTAAACAAAACTTGGCATGTAAGTAAGCTTCAAGATATACAAGATATGCAGTCTTTCAAGGCAGCAACATACTCAAAAATATTCACCTTAATCGATACTCACAACCAAAGTAAATATCGAACCCAACTAGATGAAAGAATTAGGTTAAAGCTAACCAACTATCCACCTCTAACATAACCACAATGATTCACTTAGCATGTAACTCAAGACTTGACCAAGACCTCACAACAAAAGTCATTTAAACATGAAACTATCTTAACAAAGAAGTTACTTAAATATCTATAAAAGCATTGAGATATTTCACAAGAAGCAAGTTGTTAAACATTGTCAAAAGTTAACAACTTATCCATAATTTTGTGACCACACAGGGATTTATTAAAACATGACTTAAAAAGATCAAATATTCAAGACATTAATACACAAAACAGGTTAGAGGATCAAGTTAATTATCAAGAACAAAATTCCTAATGGATTTCACAAGTGCATGCCTCAAATTTATTGGCAACAATCTCTAAAAGGAACAATTATTATCATCACAAATTTATTACTAACTACGCAAATACAGAGCCTACAAAGGTAGGACTTCAGATACAACTACGATATATGCTTCTAGAAATCAATAAAAGCCTAGCATGACGCGTGAAAGAGAGATAAAAGAGATTCAAACGGTACCTAACAGTGAAGGTTTGTTGTCTCTTCAAAGCCATGCAAGCGATGAGAAAAATCTACTGAAAGCCTCCTTGAGTTTCCTTGATGAAAATTATGCTCTTAGCTAGCTTCGAAAATTCTTAAAAACAATTCAACAATTTTCACACCATCAATTAAAAAAATCAATCACGACAATCATACAATTAAATTGAAACAAATATAGAAAGTGAAGCTTCAGTAGAGTGCAAAGCTGGATCCAGGATACTGCAAGCAAAATCTAGGCGCTAGGCCCAGCCCATGAATCCATAAACTGTTTCTGCAAGCAAAAAGGTGTAACAAAAAGCACAAGGTATGGGCCTATGGGAAATTCGGTTCAGCCCAAAAATTACCAGCAACACAAACCATTCATCGGCATATTATTTCAATTATATTTAATAAAATTTAAAAATAATAAAAGTAAAATATACGATGACGTTTCTTCCAAAGAATAGGGTTCACAGGCATAACTTCCAGAGAGAATTCGCTCTTCTTCTTCAAACAAAAGCACAATGACACTTTTTCTTCTCTCTTCCTCTCACACCGGCGGTGGTGCGGCTTCATTCAAATTCATCATCTTCATCGTGGTTTCATCTTCCTCATTCAGCCATAGTGATTCCTGCATCGCATTGTGGTTCACATCTCCATTCAACATCGTCGCCTTGACCACAAAACCACACCTTTCCTCTTCTCTCTTTTTCATCTATGTTACCGGAGCGCATCCGGCGAATAGACGCCGCCGTCCTCACTTTCTCAACCCATAAACCTAGCTTAAAATCCCTCTCCAACATCGAATCCTCCATCTATTTCACATATAAAACCTCCAATAGCAGATATCAGAATCAAAATGAAGAAAACCTATTTACGGCGGCGATTCCGTGAGGTGATGATGAACTCCAGTGAGTGTTTTAAGGTAAACTCCCAACTTTCACCTTCGTCTGATTCTTGCTCCACTTCTTATCTCTTCTACTTCTGAACCTTTTCTTGCTTGTTTTGCGATGAAAAAAATTATGATGTTGTTGTAATAGATTGAAGCTGAAATTGCTATGATGGTGATGCTGCAGATTGACTAAACTCAGTAACGATGTTAATGATGACTGAAGCAGAAAGCATAAATATGAAGATGATGTTGAAGAATATTGCAGGTTCAGGGTTGATGATGAAGATGAATATTAAAGTTGATGTGATGCGAAGAAGATGATTTACGCAAAGAGGAAACATTTTGAAGCTTGAAGCAATGGTAGAGAAAGAATTTCAGAAATTTGCAGAGGATTGAAAAGGTAATCCTTCAAGCCTTTTTTCGGTGATTTTCTTTGTGTATTTTTATCGTGAACCAATCCTCCTCAATCTCTGAAAATTTATGTTATATAGCTTGTAGTGAGCTTATTACATGAGAATAAATCCTAGCCTTCGATTCTGAATTTCTATTAGAATAATGGAAGGTTGAGATGAATTGTAAGTTATGGTTTTAAAAAAGATGATACAAAGGAAAATTATCGGGACGAGTCGCATACTAGGTCGCTTTCTTTAAGATGTTTTGTCGTACTGCCAATAGTTATACAAAGCAGTCGAGTTTCGGCGACGTCTCTAGGATAAAACAGCCCATTTAGAAATACAATTATTACTTGCACTATAATAAACCGTTCATAGAATTACACCTTCGGATGGTAAAAACCCAATCGTAGTATCTAGAAATTTCCAGTCAAAAAACAGAAAAAGAAATGTTATAGGTGAAGTAGAGTAGAGACAGAGAAGAGAGAATTCAAAATTGAAAATTCTGGGATGTATCAAATGAACTGAAAAATTTAATTTATAGGAAAAGAGTTCAACTAAATGGAACAAATATAGTGGGAGAAAATCATGGGAGATAGTGGAATCAGCCCAGTCAAATGTAGTCGTTATTTCACTTGGTCAGCAAGTCACACGTACATGTATGACTCTTGGAGGGCAAGCATAAACAGTCAAAGAATAGGTTAAGACTTGGTTTCTATGCAAGACACGTCACAATTTTGTAATTAATTAATATTAATATTAATTAATTTCTTATTTTTAATTTCCACCAAATTAATTAACTAATGATAATTGATTTCCACTAATTCGGGTTCCAAAAAATTAATTCATCTAGACCAAACTGAACTGAACCGAGCCGAGCCAACCGGATGAACGGCAGCGGCGGTGTACGCGCGTGTAGGTCTAGATGGCTTATGGGTGTGTCCTCACTCCTTTACAAAATTGGGATGCCCCTTGGGGCCCAACCCAATTGGCCAAGTTGGAATATATATAGACTACTAATATTTGTAATCCCTCCTATGTGGGACTAAAATAAATCCTTTCAAATTCACTTCCATACTATTTCTTACTTGTGCTAATTTATTTCCCATTTAATGTCAAAAAAACATTCGAACTCCCACTCCAAGTTAACATCATACAAAGATTTCCATCAATCCCCCACTTGAACTTAAAAGGTGATTTTAGAAGTACGTCAAACGTTTCTAAGATTGTGCATAAGAAAAGGTGTCTACGACTTAAACCTTTGTGTAGCAAGTAGGATTCTGATTCAACAAGAGTGACACTATTGTCTTGAACTCTATCTTAGACATCAGAATCGCACACAACCTTTTCTTAAGGTGTATTCTAATAGATCGTGCTTTAATGGCCCTGCACGTGAATCCTGGTTTAGTGAAGGCTCTAGGAATTTTTCCTCGCAATTCCATAGGAACCGACCCAAATTCCACAATCACAAAGGTAAGTCTATCAAGAGTACTCCTGTAGCCTAGGTACTCCCTCATATAAAGTATAGATCTCATTAAGAGTTTTTATTATCTCATCCTCTTATTACTTCAAGATTCATGCTTTACTTGCATGATCATCTCATATTACTCATAACTTGTTATTACCCGTTGAACCTATTTCTTGGGATCTCCAGTCATCTTGGTCGGGTTATCATCATGAGCAACTAATTTCTTTATAGGAATTAGTCCCATCTTCTTGGATGTATTATGGACTTTCTCTCTAGCTAATCCTTTCGTCAAAGAATCTGCTAAGTTTTCATCAATGTGTACATGATCCACTCTTACAGCTCCTTCAGAGATACAGTCTCTGATAGTGTTGTGCTTTCTTCTTATTTGATGTCTTTTACCATTATAATAGCGGTTCTCAATTTTTGCAATAGTTGCATAACAATCGGAGTGGATCAACACAGTTGGCATAGGTTTTTCCCATAAAGGGATCTCAGCTAGTAAGCATCTCAACCAACATGCTTCTTCACTAGTTGTGGCTAGTGTTATCATCTCTGATTCCATTGTGGATTGAGCTAGGATAGCTTATTTCTTTGATTTCCAAGATATAGCTCCTCCAGCTATACTAAATATATAGCCACTAGTAGCTTTGGAATCATCTGACAATGTACTCTAATCTGCAACAATGTACCTTTCTAGTACATCAAGAAACTTCTGATAATGTAGGCCGAGAAACATGGTCCTTTTGAGTAACCTCATGACTCGTTCAATAACTTTCCAGTGCTCTTTACTCAGTCTACTCGTAAACTTGCATAACAATCCTACGACATATGCAATGTCGGGTCTAGTATAATCAGTGGCATACCTAAGACTGCCAATGATGCTCGTATATTCTGATTGTCTGACACTTTCTCCAGTGTTCTTAAACAGTTTCACACTTAGATCATATGGTGTGTGTTGTACCCCAATTTCCCCCCTAAGATTCCTCTATCATCTCATACCATCACAATGCAATCATATCACAAATTAGGGTTTGAGTTTATCTTCTATTGCATCCTGTCTTAGGTTTTTCCTATGGAATCACCAAGCACCTTGAATAACTTGTATTTGTATATCTTGTACTTGTATGCTTCTAACTAACCTCAAAGTGTGTATATTTTGTCTCTTGGAATATCATCTTGTAGGTCATGGCACAATTGCAGTCATCTCACCATCTCCTAGCACAAATGATCAAAACTAGGGTTTGGAGTTTACTCTGGAGATCTATGGATTTTTGGGCAATTCTTGATCCCATACTCCTCTATATAGTCCTAAGCATCTATCATTGGATGTTTGATCATCAATTTTGGCTTGAAAGGGTTCAATTGATGAAAAGGGGTAAAATTGTCATTTTGTCAGAAGACAGTCAAAATCAGTTGTTGACCAAGTGAACTTTTGGTCAACCATCAATTCAATATCCCTGTTCTCATATTTCATGGTCAATAGTACAAAAATATCAAGAGGAAGTGTGAATTGGAGATAACTTGTCAAGGAAGTTATTTGAAGTTTTGAAATTTTTCTAAGTATCCTTAGGGATGAATTTTGACTGGCTACAACTTTCTCATTTTTTATTGAAAATGTGCAAACTTTATATGCCTGGAAAGATGATGAAAAATTCTCCAAATTTGTAGGAGTGGCCACAAGTCCAAAAAATGAAATTAAAAAAAGTTATGAAGCTTGGAAGATTTTGACACTTAGTGAAATGTTGGTTAAAAATGCAAATATTTGACTTCTTCATGTCCATTTTTGAATGACCATTTGGAATCAAATCAAAAATATGGCAACATGAAAGTTGTATATTGGAATTTTCTCTTCATTTTTCATTCAAGAATCATCTCAAATGGTTAAGTGTGGAGAAAGATATGATGATTAGGATTTTGGGCTGAAAACTGAATTTTTGCCCAGCCCAAGGCAAGGCACGCCCAGGCAGGCAAGGCATTTCATCAAACATGTTGTGGGCACGCATTCATCATCATTTTTCTATGTGAAATATTCATTATTTTGAAAAATGTCTAACATCAAATTTGAATCCCTAAATGTGAGGAACAACTTTGCTTCAGAAAGTTTCTCCAAATTCTTCCTACATTTTAAGATATAATTGTGAGAAGTAGGCACCATGCATGCTGAATTTTCTGCCCAGTCAGCAAGCCATGTGTGCAGCAAGCCCAGGCAGGCAAGGCATTTTATCAAACAGTTTGTAAGCACATGTTCATGGCCAAATATCTCATTGATTCAAGCCTCATTTTGAAAAATTTTGAACATGAAAGTTGGAGTATGAAGTGTCCTCTACATTTTTTATTCAAAGTTTGTGATGTTTCATGCACCATAGAGAGATATAAGGGAGCAAAGAGGTGTTCATGAAACAACATATTTGCATGAAAATGCATGGAATTTTTTTTATGCAACCAAGCCAATTTCCAGCTCATCATCCCAGCCTTTGTTCACTTACTCAAGCACGTGATTTGCACCCTCATTTGCACATAAAAATGAAGCACATCACTCCCTCTCTCATTCTTTCCATTTCTCTCACTTTCCATTTCTCTCTTTCTTCACTCTATATAAAGCATTGCATTCAACAAGCAAGAGGGGGAAAAATAACAAGTAGAAAGCAAGAAATCCTATATCTCTCTCACTCCCACACAAAGCAAGTGATCCTCTCTTCTCTCTCATTGAATTTCCAACCAATTTCCACCATTGTTGTCAAAGCAAGCTTCCATTATTTTTGAAGCTTCTTCGTATCTCTCTCTACTCATCATCACTGCATCTTCAAAGCAAGCATTTCTCAAAAGCTAGCTCTTTATTTGAGCTCCAAGCACCATCAATTTCATTACAAGGTATATGATCCATCTTTCTCTCTCTTGATGAAACTTGCGTATTGTTTTAATCCACGAGCTTTTTGCAAAATCTAAGATCATATTCATAATCCTTGCATTTTTCTGATCAATTTTCATTTTTGGATCGTTTAATTTGGTGGAGAATTGGGGGAG